GATGAAATAAGTCTTCACAATAGAAAATATATAATGCTCGTAAAGCCAATGGTTGACCTTATATAAATTCAAATCTAGAAGCAAATAATCTGGTTTACCTGGTCAATGTCCTCGCAGAGAGCAAGTTCTTCATGACCATATGGATATCTGTACAGCAAGAAGTTAATCTATGAGATGAGAGCAAACAACATCTACACGTACAACTAAATACAAAGGTAAAGGATCAGAATGCATACAACAATCCAAAATTTGAATAAAGCTTCCGACGATCATCTCTAGTTAATTCAGTGCCAATGCTGCAAAGCCAGATCACAGATTAGTGGGAAAGAAAAAGTATTTTAGCAGTATTTCTTTCATCAATTGAATATGGAAGGTGAAAGTTGAGAAATTAAAAGGGGGGGCTCTAAATGGAAAGGTTATTTTGCTTGTTCTGTTTCTTGATTTCTTGAAGCTACACATTCCAGTGATGATGATTTTTTGTAATTATTTTCTATGAATTTCTAAATAACAGATTTGAATTCCATTATTAAATTCATTCAAACTAATAACTGCTGTCTTTCTTGTCAAATCTGTAAAGTTAAGGATTGGTAGACATATGTTTATCTCCCAGATGGGGGTGCATGTGTCGAGAAAAAAGCTGCTGCTCTCTGATATTCTGAAGATAACTCTGCTCAGTTTTATTGCTGGAAACACGCTCCGGAGAAACTAACCCTTACCACAAAATCATTTAGTGCTGAATATAGAATTGCATACTGAACTAGAGATTGCTAGCCTAAACTGACGAACTGCTGGAACAGCTGAGGTAAGGTGCTGTATATGCTTTGTTCTGTTGTGTTTGTGATATGTGATTTAAGAGTAAATTCCTTCACACTGTTGCAGAAGGATGTTGAGACACTTGTGTCAATACTAGTCTAGATGTCAATGTTATAATTCTGGGCCAATGATGCAGAGGTTTTACTTAATTACCAAAAAAATTATATTGTTATGCAGGTTAAGTGCTATTATCAGAAAATTACCAACCATATATGAAACTGAAGGGGATCATTAAAAGGAACAGCATGTTCACCATTCAAAGAGCTGCAATGTTCATTTGGCTCACCTATTTATAGTGATATTGACAGCTCTTCTATCAGCTTCAAAGGCAAGAAGGTCAGACATGATCTCAGCAGTTGCTCCACCCAGTTTCTATTTCAAAGAAATACTTACTGCTAAGTGCAAGCGATCTTATATATTCCACTACAAAAAATTGTAGATAGTAATCACTATTTACCTGACAGAAGTTGTAGAAATCCTCAAGGTATGCCTTGTATAGGGTATTCCTCATAATTTCAATATTCATGTCATCCAAGTCCTGACATGAATTGTGAAAACAAGTTTAATAGTAAAACTAACCTATATACTATTTTGCAATCATACTGGTTTCTTAAGTACTCCGAAGATTGGGTTTCTTAAGTACTCGAAGATTGGCATGTTACAAGACAACCAAAGTGGACGAGCAATACTGAATATGTTAGCACCTCTGATGTGATGCACTCTGAGAAATATGGGGCCAATGGTGTGTCAACAAGAACCAATCTGTAAAGCTCACGCATGTTCTGTGCGACTGCAAGTGTTGCGATACTGCAGAGTAGATGATAGAGGTCACAATGCATTAACATATTATGGCCATTAGATAGGATTGAGTGACATACCTGTCAAACATGCCCAAAGGATGACATTTCTCCAATAGTTCCTGAACATCCCTCTCATGCAATGTGCCAGTGACAATAAGGACAACATTGTCAATCATATAACCATACCTGTGAGGAATAATAGATTTACCTGGGAATTTTTCTTTATCAAGGTACAAATAGTATTGAATTCACTCAAAATTAATTAATCTTGCAGTGAAATTGTGGACATGTACGTTATATACTCCAAGAAGGTCGACAAGGGCTCCGTTGCTTGACACAACATGTGCTTGTACTCATCTACCAGTTTAAGAGTACATTTCTCCACAATCGTAGTTGTATGTAAAGGAGATGGCTCTGCAAGTAATTAAAGGTCTTATATAAGATGATTGATAAAAATAAATGTAAACTGAAAAACAAAGAAACAACAAGTACATGTAAATAGCACAAGCTATAACTGAAGCATATGAGGTGATATCTGTCCAAGCATCACTTAATATTCAGTTGAGAGTTGAGAATATTACAATTACCTGCATCATTTTTTCAACTCAATGTTTCCATATACTCAAAAGAAAATTTTGATCATGGAATACATAATTAAAGTAAAGGTAATAAAGAAACTGAAATATATTAATTAGTTTGGTATATCAACATAAGCATTTTCTTTTCCCTGATAGAATGACATGAATCTAAGAAGTTGGATGATCCACATACACTTCTGACATAAAAAGTGCCAAGTTTTTGCAACTTATAACCTAAAGATAGGGCTTATAAGATTGCTTCACTGTGGTACAAGTTTTAAGCTAAAATATTTTCTCTCCATACAAGAATAAAGATGCATACATTTGACTCTTCCCATACCCCAAATGATCAATCCTGTCACTCAAAATTCTAAGTTCCATGATTGACCAGCAATCCAATGTAATCTTGTGAAGCATATGTTGTATAAGAAACATCTTGTGAGGCTTCCTTGAGTCTTGCTCTTCCTATAATTGTTCCCTATTTGAAAATTATCACTATCATACTTCACACTAGATCTATAAATTTTACATGACTTGCACATAGCTCCATTTTTTTTGATGTAGTGTGAAAGATTGAATTCACATGTAATTTAAACTTCAAAATAGCTTGTTTTATGACAAACATCCAATAAGAACTACTGTAATTTAAAATCCACAATTCTAAGAAGTGATACCCTATAATCCTATGGCCCTTTTAATCCTATAATATACATATAAGTGATATCCATGTCACAAAAAGTATACTAAGGAAGTTAATAGAAGTAAAAGCCACAAAAGAGGATGTGACCAAATATGCCCTTACACGATAAACTGTTCCAAACTTCCAATTGTAATGCATTGTTACGAAATGATACAATACATGTAGCATGTTGATGCTCTAGTGACCATGGGCATGCACACAGCACCAACACCTCGGGCTCAAGTAAACCTTGATCAAGGATAACAGCCACTAATGAGTTCAGAACTAACCAGCCTTGCTTATAATCATGAAGATACCCTACAAGCCCTACAAATGCTTTTTCACGTATAATGGTAATCGATATTGCAAGTGAACACATCACGTGCCAGAAAATAACTCTGGATCACCTACCGTAAAAAAAAGAAGTCATATCCTAAGGTGGAATCATCACCTTTACGGACCACAAGTTCTTCCGGATAATTGCAAAATTGCTAAAATAAAATTAGAGAGAAAAAAAAGGCCATTTTGTTCACAGTTTACTGCAAAATCCCTCATCACTGGCACAGATCTGAACCAGAAATATAAGAATTTACCCCGATATAAGGGAACCATTAGTATGGTCTCGCCCTCTGGGCATAAAACTAAATTCCTACGCAGCACAGATCGTCCGTCTTCGTCAAACACGCCCAAAATTATAACTTTCTACTGGAAAATGATGAATCAAATGATGCGTGAAGGAAATCTGTGGGCGAACTGAATCGGGAGAGGAGACGGAAGAGAGAAAGTGAGATGGGATGGGAAGAAGCCCACATCCAACGCACCGTTCTGGAGGTAGGGGCCGTATTCGGTGGCGGAGAGATGCATCTTGATGTCGTCGAGGGTCTCGCACTGGCAGAGGTTGTTGTAGTCGGCGGCGGTGAGGAGGCCCGACCGGTGGCCGCGGACGATGGCCTCCAGGTACCCGCCATGGATGTTGAACGTCAGCGCCTCAAATCCGTACATCGCGCCTTCCCGTCCCGACGGACTCCACCATCAATTGACAGGATCTACGACGAGATCGAAGGCCACACGGAGGAAACCTGAGAGGAGAGAGAGAGAGGAGGGGGAAAGGAGAAAGAAGCCCTAGAAATCCAAGAAAGGAACGACCGGATGTTGTTTTCGGACGCGTCGATCCGTGACACAACTCGAGTTTGCGGTCCAACACAGCGAGCGCCACATCCGCTACTCGTGACTTAAACGGTGAGTCATGTTGTATTATCTTCGCTCGATGTTTGGAGAAGGCCTTTCCTATAAAAGAAGTTTCCTTTGCTTTTTGCACTCGAGAAATAGTTTATTTTATATTTTAAGGGGTAAATTCTCCACAAAAAATCTATAATTTTTTTTTATTCTTTTATCCACATAACGACTTAAAACATTTTAGCTTTATTCTCGCAAATTATTCTTTTTTATTTATTCCCATAGAGAAATCCTTATTTTTTTTGGACTCGTCATAATTATTGAAGAAGTTTTATTGAAGAAATGAAAATATTTTTATCATGCCCCCGCAAGATGGTGCTCCTGATAAGGATACCAATCTTGAATCAATGTAAATAATGGTTTACAAGCGAGAGACTTCGTGAGTAAGGCAATAACAAATGCTTCGATACATTAACATGTTCGTAATCGTATTAGGCCCCATGAGATTCCTCAGTATCGTTATCGTCACCTGCATCTTACCGACAAAGGCCTCGTCATTATCCTTGTAGGTACTGCAAGGCCCCTCATCACTGTCCTCGTTGCCGTGCCTCCACCTTACTTCTACTCGCCACTTCATGATCTCTCACCTTCTATCTCCATCATAACTTGTGTGGCTGTTGTTGTTTCCTTCTCCCTGTTGACGAGTGGAAATGATGTTGAATCCAACAACGAACAAGAGTATGGTTGAAGATAGAACCAATGGAGGAGGGCACGATGAACGAGGAGGCAACGATCGACGAGATGAAGCCCAAGGGTAATCTCATCTTTTAGGAAACGAGACATTCTGAATATATATATATATATAAACTTTAAAACTTTTTTTAAAAAATTACCCATATTTTAACATTTCTAAAAAATATAAGGGGAAGCATGGAAGACAAAGCAAGCAAAAGATAAATATGACTTGGCTGGCTATATATATAAACACACACAAAGTTGGCACAACATCGATTCAAGGTATGTATGACATAAATGTCCGATAAGTTGGATGATGCAGCATGAGGTCACAAACACAGAAACAAAGAAGAGAACAAAAAAAAAAAAACTATTCTCATTCTACACCGTATCGCCTTTAGGTACAAGGAAGCCACAGGAGATGGTAGTCCAGAATCATTGTAGCTTTTGCATGCAGAGCAAGTGGCTCAGCCGATTGCGGAAAGAAAAAAACGGAGGCTACTTCCAGAGCTTCACACACTTATCGTGACTAGCAGATGCTACCACTCCAGTTGCATTGGATACCGCCAAGGCTGCGATCAGGCCATCATGTGCAGGAAGCATCATGGTTTTGTTCTCTTTCATGTCCCAGATCTCTAGTGACTGCACAAATTTGACAGCATCAATTTACAGTCAGTTGATTGGTTCCATCACAACACAACTACTGCAAACTATCAACTCGACGACATCAATTTACGGTCAGTGATGCTCAACACTCTGAGCATCACCGTTCATGGTGTTGAAGAAAATCAAGTGACAGAAAATGCGGCAGTGTGCATGCACAAATATGGATCAACAAATAAAGCATTTTGATTTTGATAACACAAATATAACTCTAGCTGAAGGTGGATTAGAGTTATAAAGATTCTTCTTATAATGAACAAGAAAAGATGGATATTACAATCCACAAGCATCAGCATATAATAGTAACTGGTAAGAGGGCTAACAATGATGCAAATTGAGTCAAGAGCATTAAGCGCTAGTACTGCTTTGCCTACAATCTAGAGGTCAAATCATAGAAGCATGATCAAAACCAAGTTTCACAAGTTAAGCAGAGAACTTGCCTGGTAGCAACCGATCACGAGCAAGGATGGATAATTGGGGAGGAAAACGCATGAGTGGAACTTATTTCCAATGCAACTCAACTCGTGCACGCATTCACTGTCATTTCCTGAACCAAGTGACCAAACTCGGACAGAGTCTTCACTCACAGAAGCCAGAATATCGCCTGAAGGATTCCAGCAAATGGAATCAACATGTTTTGTATGTCCCTACAAGTGGAACAGTGATGTCAATCATGCAGCAAGGCTATCTTTGGATGATCAGATAACAACAGAAAATCCCAAATATTCAAGTTATTGAGAGAAGGATAAGGACAATGTACACAATTCGGAGAACAAGAAGCTAATATATCAGAAAAGGAAATGCTTGATTCCTTGTTTGATGTGACAAATTAGTCAAAAAGCTTGGTGTATTGCTACATTGCATATCTGAGGTTCCACAAAAGATAACCAACCTGTAGTAAATGCCGGCGAACTTGTGTCTCAACATCTAGCACACATATGGCATTCTCAGCAGCTGCAGCAATATACCTACCATGACGAGGTTGAAACCTCATTTGAGTTGTTCCACCCTGTGTGCACAGAGAAAATTCAAGTAACCAGCAGAAGAACTTCACGTTGAAATGTTTAAAAGAAAACAAATTTAGCTGTTAATGGATAATCTAATGGAAGTCAAGATTTCTCTGTAATAGGTATAGTTGAAGAGACAAATAGCATCCTTTCTTACCGTAAAAACTCTGGCACAGTTACCATTATTTATACTCCAGTAACGCATTTCTCCATCGCCATCACAGGAACAAATGAGATCCTCTTTACTCGGGTGAAAGTCCAAAGACATAACAGATGCAGAATGGCCCGTAAAAGTACGAAGTGAGTAGCCTGGCTGTATGTTAAATTCATGTAAAACAAATTGTCAAAAGAGCTGAATTCATTAAAGGCTACAGGACAATAAAACATCAAATCACAGGAACAAATGAGATCTTCTTTACTCGGGT